TGGTACGTGAGGACGAGGGGGATTCTTTTTTGGTTCTTATTGCGTGGACGGGGTGTGAGGGATGAGGTGCGGGAGATGTGGGAGACACGGTTGAGGGTGTTCTCGACCACCGAGGGGGGGACGTTACGGTCCTTGAAAAACGAGGACAACCGAGATGTACGGGAGTGGAATGGCTCATCCTGGGAGCAGATGCGGCGGAGGCGAAGGAATTGGGAATAGGGGATAGCATTTTTGCAGGAAGGTGGGTGGGAGGAGGAGTATTCTAGGTAGCTGTGGGAGTCGGTGGGCTTGAAATGAATATCGGTTTCTCGGTGGTTGCCCAATATGGAGACAGAGAGGTCCAGGAAGGGGAGAGAGGTGTTAGAGATGGTCCAGGTAAACTTAAGGTTGGGGTGGAAGGTGTTAGTGAAGAGGATGAACTGTTCGAGCTCCTCGTGGGAGCACGAGGCGGCGCCGATACAGTCATCAATGTAACGGAGGAAGAGGTGGGGTTTAGGGCCGGTGTAGGTACGGAAGAGGGATTGTTCCACGTAACCTACAAAGAGGCAGGCGTAGCTTGGGCCCATGCGGGTACCCATGGCTACCCCCTTTGTCTGTAGGACGTGGGTGGAATTGAAAGAGAAGTTGTTGAGTGTGAGGACGAGTTCGGCTAAGCGGATGAGGGTGTCAGTGGAGGGGGACTGGTCGGGCCTGCGGGACAGGAAGAAGCAGAGGGCCTTAAGGCCATCTGCATGGGGAATGCAGGTGTAGAGGGACTGGACGTCCATGGTAAAGATGAGATGTTGGGGACCGGGGAATTGGAAGTTCTGGAGGAGGTGGAGGGCGTGGGTGGTGTCACGGACATAGGTAGGGAGTTCCTGGACCAAGGGGGAGAAAATGGAGTCTAGATAGTTGGAGATCAGTTCGGTGGGGCAGGAGCAGGCGGAGACAATGGGTCGACCAGGGCATTCAGGTTTGTGGATTTTGGGAAGGAGATAGAAGCGGGCAGTGCGAGGTTGGGGAACGATGAGGTTGGAGGCCGTGGATGGGAGGTCACCGCAGGTGATGAGGTTGTGGATGGTTTGGGAGATGATGGTTTGGTGCTCAGGGGTGGGGTCATGATCAAGGGGGCGGTAGGAGGTGGTGTCGGAGAGTTGGCGTCTGGCCTCGGCGATGTAGAGGTCAGTGCGCCATACTAATACCCAACTTAATACCCAACACAGCCAATGGTTTGACTCTTGACTTTGCTCTTCCATCACACACTGGCATAGAAGATAATATCAGCGAGGCCATGGAGAGCAGTTAACACCATGACAACCCTAGGACAACAATCTTTTTATCATCAATATATGCCACCCTTACGCAAGAAAATCATTTATCATCCATTCTTCACAACATTGCACAGTTGACCAATCAGCAGCAAAACTATTAACATATACTAATTTATTTTCTGCTGACTGCACTTCTTAGGGAATCTTGTGCTATAATGGCAGTGTCCTTATCCATGGACCATAAATTCAAGGTTCAAATCTCACCTCAGCATATGATGGCAATAGAAGTATGTCATAACACGTCCTTAAAGGCTGATTAGAAAAATATTAACCTATTAGAAACACCACAACCTGGCCAATAAACAGTTAACACTGCACCCATATTCCCATCCTCCAATATATGCAACTCTTTCATCTGTTCCAATTATTCCTCCAGACACTGTGAAGAGTGTGCTGCCTGAAATGTTCAGGTCTACCAATTCTTCTAAGAAACTTTTTACAAAAAAAAAAATTACTCTTTTCAAACTGAAAGAACTATTCTCACCATGAAATTGTTCAGACAACTTTGAGAAGTCTTATTGAGACATTAAGAATGCATAAGTTGGTTTGAAATAATAAAAATACTAACTGCTACATTTTGAATATATGTAGGTTATTAGGTTTATCTCCTGTGTTAACTTTACCTTAAATTCTGTAATGGAGTTGTATTCATTTGCTAGGATTTTATCTTTCATAGTGCTGAAATCCATTGGATGTTTGATTATCATAGAATAACCAGGTGCAATGCTATCCGTAACAGGGAACGCGAAAAATCCATGAGGATCTTTTCTAAAACAAAACAATTTTTGATTATGATTTAAACACAAGTAATAACCAGACCAATTTCCAACAATCACTCTTCTTTCTCCTTTCCTCATCTCTCTAAACACTTCTGGATATTTCAATGTGAAAAGATTTTAAAAAGAAACTTAATATAGTGGTATGTTACTGAACTAACAGCACTATGGTCTTGTCAAATTTATAGATCTCAGTGAAGTTAGTTTATGGGTAATGTTGTGCCTCAGCAGCCTGAGCTATGGTAAGCAAAGAAAGCCAACAAGGATTCCCGCCCAAGAGGGAAAGACATCCTCAGGCTGCTGTGCATTATCTGCAAATTAAACAAGATGGGAAGATTGATTTGACAATGAGTGAACAATTTCTTCATATTTTATGAAGCTTTTTTGGTCTGTTTACAATGTTCAGAGAACGCTTTCGCTTCCCAAACTGTTATGAAAAGTATTGAAATAGAAGTGTGCACAAAGAGTTTGTGGTTGAGGACACATTGAATAATAACTGTAATTCTTTCCTCCAACACGCAACTGAATAACTTCTTATACTCATGATCTAGACTCACAAAGAAGAATGGTCACTTTTTTAAAGTATATAGTGTATACAATGTCCTACAGGTGCTTTTAACAGTACAAATACAAGTTCTATTATTAACAAGTCATACTCCTCAAAAGTTAGTGTGCAGAATAAAACTTTGTAAAATACAAGATTGAAAGCACCTTGAAGCTTTAGCAAACTGTAATGCAATATGCTGGGAAAGAAGATTGTGCCCACTGTGCTTCATACAGTATGCTCTAAATGTCAGACCTCTCACTCTAGATAGGTGGAAAGCAAAGGTCAGAATTTTCCCCACCAGGGAGAATGGGTGAAGGAAGATATCAACAACTGTAACACCTTATAGTAGACCCGTGCACCTGCACCGGATGTAGCTTGGATAATCAATCTATCCTCCCAACCCAAGAAGACAAATATAGTTAAATAGTTTTGTAAAAAGGCCCAAACTATTTAATTGTTGCTGGTTTCATGTGAATATGTTTTGAGATTACATGTCATAGTATGGCTGTAAAACGTACCTTTGTAACTGGCGCAAAAAATGCTCCAATAGCTGCTGCAGAGGTGTATTCTCACTTTCCACTTTTAACACAAACAAAGATTTTATTAGTATTGAAAGATAATGGCATACAATCCGTAATTGCTTACACGTATCTTCTCACATTAAAACGTGATGCAATATATGCCATGCTGTGGGATCTTTATTGTGAAAGTCGCTATATGAATGCAAGTATCTACTAACAATGTGATGAAGGCTTATTATTATTTTGTACCTTGGATTCTAAAATCAAGGTACTCGGGTTTTGGTTTTGCATTCAATGGAGGTAACTTTTTTTCAAAAAGTGGCAGAGCTTTTTTTTAAGTATTGGGTCAAACAGTTTTTCTAAGAAATCATGGGACTTAAGCTAAACAACTAGGCAAGCTACCTTGTGAGGTAATTGCTGAAATACTAACTTGAGCTTTTGCAACATACAGAAAGAGTGCTGTGGGTCCTGAAGCAGCTTCAGTTCATAAAATCCACATCATCAGATGTGGTGTTTTAGCAGCCTCAAAATAGTGAGTGTCAGGAAAAGGTCAGCGAATTAGCCTACCTGTGTATTTCAGGGAGAGGGGAGAACTACATTTTGTGAATGAGCAGAAAGTCACTGAAAAGAAACACTTGTGACCTCATCAGTTGAGTAAGAAATTAAAGAGTGGAAATAAGAGTGATATTTCACTTGGGTTGGCTATCTCTAAAGGACGTTGATGGGAAAATAGCTCCATATTTCTGTTTGCTGTTTAATGCTAAGATCGCTCTGAAGTATCCTGTAGCTTTGATTTTTTTGCCTTCATTCATGTAGTAAACTTATGTTGCTTTGTTCAAAGTATGTTGGTAACCATGCATGAATATATTTACTATCTAACCACTGAAGTAGTCAGTTTGCAAAAACAAAACCTATCATCTATAAAGTGAGGTTTCACATTGAAACTTGTTCACTATTATTATGAGCTGGGCTCAGAAAAAGTGTTAAAATATTTAGTAATAGCAAATTATTAGGATATTCATGCAATTAAGCATCCTAGCATGTATAAAATTTAGCGATAGCTCACTTATAAGTTGTTCAACAGTGCCAAGCTACGTCTTTTGCTAATGCAGCTCCACCCTGGTAATCCCCAAGTCAAGGAGATGGCTCCTTGTTCAGACTTAAAAGTCAAGTGGGCAGGCTGCAATCTCACAAAAGGCCTAGCGGCTGTAGATTTATTACAAATAAGTAGAAAATGTAGATAAAATGCATTTAGGAAGTATTTTGTTTTTGGTAATTGCAAGGCTGGCAGCAAAACTAAAAGTGGATATCTTAATGAATATAGACAATTATTTTTTCGGTTTATCTTGGATAAGGAATAAGCAATTTAAGACTTCAGAAATGTTTTCCTACATTACAAGAATGGCTACATTAAAAAAACAACTTAATCGACTATCAAATGCTTGAGGACATCTTGGGTTTGTGATCGTTACAAATAAATGCAGATTCTTCTTTGTTAATGAACAATGGTCTTTTGTAATCTCAGCAGGAACTTGATTACTTTTCCTCCTTCATGAAGGCAGCATTGTTGTACTGTACAACATTCACCGATACCTATTAAAATGTCTGGTCTTTAAATGCAACCCTGGATAGTAAATGCTAAATAATTATTTGACCACATATCATCAGAGAACACCACCACAATATGTAGCCACAAAAATCTATTTATGGCACCAGAATCACTGGAGAATGATCAGGAGTAGGATTCTTTGTGCACTATTTTCTCCTCTTTAGCTCAACATAATTGCAAGAACCTCACAACTGATTCTGCAAGATTGGTCAGATCCTTGACTGAAAACCTTCCCACTAGGTGATTTATTGGACTGATTACCATACGATGTGATATAATTTCTAAAAATGGCATTGCTATCTGCTTTCTTTCAAAGTAGATTTGGTATACACTTAGCAGTTTATTTGCAGTGACACAAGCTTCTTACTTCAAACTGCAGTCATGGTAAGCAATCGCAAAGAAAAATTAAAGAGTAAAGCAATAATATTTTTGAAGTAGTATTAACCAAATTAGATACTTCCTGGCTCATGTCTGTATTCCACTATTCCACAACAATATTAAAACATCACTAACAGTCCCAACTAAAGGCATTGGAAATGCAATACTACTTAGAGGAAAGGTCTCTAAAACATTGCATCCCTGATCCCATGCTAATTTTGCATGCATCACCCTGCCTCATTGTGAGAAGTGAATTGGCATGACTAAGCTCCAAAAGAACACAACAGGAGTAGTAAAGGAGAAAACAAACCCCTAAAAAAAAACAGCTCAACACATAGCATTTTAGAAATGGTATTTTTTTAAAATTACATCGAAAGACAACTAGGAATGGCCTATAATTAGAATCATCCGAGTCCATAACCATTTATGTTCTCTCTTGTATAAGTGACATATATTACAGATGATACCAAGTTATAACAAAGCCTTGAATGCAACTAAAATAAAAGACTGTAGATGTTGGAAATTGAAAATGAAAACGAAAACAGAAATTGCTGGAGAAACCGAGCAGGTCTGGCAGCATCTGTGGAGAGAAAACACAGTTAACATTTCAGATCCAGTGATCCTTCTTCAGAACTGATTTCCACAGATGCTGCTAGACTTGCTGAGTTTTTCCAACAATTTCTCTTTTTGTTTTCGATTTCCACCATCTGCAGTCTTTTTTTTTCCACTTTTACCTTGTTCTTTTGTTCTGCATGATCGGACTGGTCGATCTGTTGGGGGTTCAACTTCAATCCTTTTTCCTGGATCAAACTCATCAGCATCAGCCTCGCTGTCCAAATGTTCTTTTTCACGTTTTCGTTTCTTCTCTTCCTGTCACAAGAGACCATCAATGTCAGTTGGTAGAATACATCATTATGTCTAATTCCATTGAGGGATGTCATTGATATAGATGCCCCGAGACTGGTGAGCTTTAACAATCTACAGAAGAATATGATTAGTTTTGTCCCACCACAGTAACAATAAAGGTGCAAATGAAGTTGATTTCAAATCTCTTTTTAACTACAAAATATGCAACAGTAATAAATCTCAGAAAGCACAAGCCAAAAGGTTCAGTTTATTTTAGAAGAATGTGTAAATAACAACTTTTCCCAAAAAAAAAGCTGCATGACGTTTTCAACTTTTATATTGTTCGAGGACAAAGTAGATGGACAGGTCATTAAGCCAACTGGTATGAATGTGGTATGGTACTCAATACTTCACTCACAGACATGCATGTTTGTATCACTGCAGTACAGCAAGCAGAACTGCACTCAGCTTTCAGTCTCGTTTTGCAAACTGTCTATGTAGCTGTCAAAAACACCCAGCATTTTCAGTTTGATACAGTGCGAGTTGTGTCTTGCTCAGACTGGTGTTGATGTATTATATATACACACACATTTATTTTCAAGACACTTAACAACCAGTCAAATATGACATGCAAAGGGTTGGTTCATATGGTCAATACATTTTCTAATGTGGTAATGGTGCAACTACCCAAGACAATTGATGTGACTGGCATATTGTACTGAAATCAGTCAGAGAACTTACGGAAACCTGAACAGTTTCTAAAGTCAGAAAACATTAGTACATAAGGTACATAACCATTGGTCTTAATGTCTTGACCAGCCAAAATGGGTGTGAAAAGCCTCTGCCTTTCTGAAGTGTTCAAGCTTTCAGCTCAAGATACTGTTTTGAGCTACCACACAGATACCTGATCTTCAAGACATAATGTTGGTGAACAAATGTTACTGGTCTTGAACCTGTAACTAAGTGAGATTAAGGATTTGTTTAATATTAACAAATCTTGTTTCTTCAGGGAAAGTATACAGCCAAGAAGATACTATGGCATTGGGAAATGATGTTTTACACAAAAATCTAGAAAATATTTATACATTCAAGTTCTGCAACATTGCTTTACAACATCATTTTCCTCAGTATGCTCTTGGGCTAATCTGGACGTTATAATCCTTCATGCCTCCATTACCTAGGTGACTGATACAATGAATAAACGTGGAATGCAAGATAATAAATTGACAAATGTGATCTCCGCTAATACAACAGTGGCCTCTAACAACGGGCATTTGTAAAATATTTTAAAGCACTATGTCTCAGAACTTTAAATCCCAAATAAATATTCATTCTTGCAATCTCTGCTAATTAGGTCTTCACAGACATTATGGATACTTTATCATTCCATCAGAAGCCACAACAGGAAAAATCCAAAAACAGATCCTCTCTACTTTGTTCAGTCTCAAGCATCGTTTAGGGTCAAGGCTGAAACACAAACTTGGAAACTCTGTAGTTATCAAAGTGCAGGAAGAACAACATAGGTCAAATTTCAAAACATTGTTTATCTGGGACTCTCAGACATACTTTACTCTCTCAAATATGGACAGGTAAGAGAATATAATATCAAACCAGAAGTCAGATAGGTAACATTTACCAATATTACAACACAGGGATGACAAGCCAAACTAAATCAGTCTCTCTAAGACTGGATTTGCAATATAGTGAAATTAAAATATTTAAGACCCTCAAACTTCCCCCAATTGTTCCTAACCTGATTTGATGAATGACAGACCTCAAACACCAAGTTCAATAAAAATGAGGAATTTATTGTAAATACTGTAATTGTAGCAAAGCAAAGCTAAACAACAAGGTAATCTAATTAAGGCCATAACAGATAGGAACTAGAAAAGGCCATTCAGTCCGTTGAATATGCTCTGCCATTCAACAGGCTCGTGGCTGTTCCAACACACCTCACATCCACTTACCTGCCTTTTTGCAATAGCCCTTAATTGGCCTACTGTTGTAAAATCTATCTCAGTCTTAAATTTACACAAGGACTCAGAAAAATATCCTCCTCAAATCATTCTTAAATTGCTTTATTCTGAAACTGTGCCGTCTGGTCCTAGACCCTTCCATGAGGGGTAATATCCTCTCAGCATTTGTCCTGTCAAGCCCCTCAAGGATTCTAATTGTTTCAATAAGATCAGCTCTCAGTCTTCTAATCTTCAGTGAGTAGAATCCCAACCTGTTCAGCCTTTGCGTATAAGACAATCCCTCCATTCCAGGGATCATCCCTGTTAACCTTCTCTGAATGCCCCCAATGAAATGTTCTCTTTTCTTAAATAAGGGATCCAAAACTGCTCACAGTACTCCAGATGTGGTCTCTGCAGCACCTTATACAGTTGCAATTAGATTTCCCTCATCTTATATTCCAATCCCCTTGAAATAAGGGTCAACATTCCATTAGCCTTCCCGATTACCTGCTGTTCCTATGTGCTAGTCTTCTGCATTTCATTCACAAATAGCCCAAACCCCATTGTGTTGCAGCTTTCTGCACTTTTGCTCTATTTCTCCATTCCAAATTGAACAACTTTGCATTTTCCCACATTGTAGTTATTTGCCAACTTTTTGCCCACTTAACCTATCAATATCTGAACTGTTTGTATGCCTCTTACAACCTGTCTTTTCACCTATTTTTACGTCATCTGTAAACTTGGCTACAGCACATTCAATGCATTCCTTCAAGTCATTAATATATGTTGTAAACCCTTGTGGTCTCGACACTGATCCCTTCGGAATCCCACTGGTCATAGTTCGCCAAATTAAAAAAGAATGCTTCATTCCCTCTCACTGTTTTCTGTCTATTAGCCAATTCTCTATCCATGCCAAAATACCACCTCAAATACCATGAGCTCAATTCTTACGACTTAACCTTTTGTGAGTTATCTTGTTGAACACCTTCTGGAAGTCCAAACGCGTATCGGTTTCCCTCTATCCACTCTGGTTGAGACTTCCTCGAAAAACTCTAATAAATTAGTCAGACACAATTTCCCTTTCATGAAGCCATGCTGAGTCTGCAATGATTAGGATAAGTTTTTCTTAATGTTCTGCTATTAATTCCTTAATAATTGATGCCAATTCTTTTCCATCAATAGATATTAGGCTAATCAGTCTATCGGTTCCCACTTTTTCCTCTCTCACTTTTTGAATAGGGGTACCACATTACCAATTTTCCAACCTTCTGGTATTTCTTCATAATCCAATGAGTTTTTGAAAATTTCAACCAATGCTATTTCAATTGTTACTTCTTTTAGGATCCTCGGATGCAAGCCAATAGGTCCAGGGACCTAACCTGCATTTAGCCCCATTAGTTTGTCTAAAGCTACTTCTTTAGTGATAGTGATGGCACCTAGCTCCTTCCCCGTATTCTTTATTTCGAAGTGTCTTCCACTGTAAAGACTGATGAAAAATATCTGTTTAACTCCCCTTCCATTCCTTGTTTCCCAAGACCGTCTCCCCAGATTCAGTTTCTAGGGGATCTATATTCACTTTGACTGTTCTCATCCTTTTTATATATTTAAGAATCTTTTATTGTCAGCTTTTATGTTCCTCGGTAGTTTGTCCCGGTAGTTTATTTTGTCTCTATTATGTTTTAAAGATTCCATTGCTGGATTTGGAATTTGTTGCAGTTTTCAGGTCTATCACTGACTTTGGCCTCCATACATGCTTAATTGTTCAACTTAATGCTCTCCTTAACATCCTTGGTTAGCCAAGGCTGGTTTATCCCTCTCTTAGAATTGTTCCTCTTTACTGGCATGTGTTTTTACTAAGAGTCATGAATTATCTATTTAAATGTCTGCCAGTGCTTGCTTACTGCATTTCCTGCACTTCTATCCAACCAGTCTACTTTATCCAACTCTATCCTCATTTCATTGTAATTCCATTAATTAAAGTTAAACACGGTTGTTTCTGACCTAAGTTTCCCACTCTCAAACTAAATTTAAACTGTATTATGTTTGATCGTTATTTCCTAGGGAATCTTTTACTCTGAGGCAATTTATTAAACCTGCCTCACTACCCATTACCAAATCCAAGACAGCATGCTCCTTGGTGGTCCATGGTATACTATCCCTAAAGCACTCTATGATTTGTTGTTGTAGTTACCCAATCAACATGAAGATTAAAGGCACCCGCTATTATTGCTCTATTCTATTTAGATGTTCCTGTTATTTGTTAATTTATAGCCTTTACCACAGAATAGTGGATTGAGATGAGTGAGTTTTGGTCAAGTCTTTTTGTGGCCAGTTGGTGTTCGTGTACCCTTGTTGTTAGTTTCCTTCCTGTTTGTCCAATGTAATGTTTCTCACAGTCTCTGCAGGGGATCTTACAGATGACATTGGTCCTGTCCATGGCGGGGAGTGGGTCTTTAGTTCGGGTGAGCAGTTCTCGTAGGGTTGATGTGGGCTTGTGTGCCACTCTGATGACCTCCTATGACCGCTGGGCATCAGAATGGCACACAAGCCCACATCAACCCTACGAGAACTGCTCACCCGAACT